CGACTATTTTCTGTCCTACGAATTCAGTGATGTTTTGCTCGCAGTAGCTATTTTAATTAATGTTGCAGTTTTTGCAAAGAGGCTCCTAAAAATCGTAAGACTTGTCACTCCGCAACCGCATCCTATCATGGTCATAAATCAGACGTAGTTCCCAAATCGACTGGGAGCACACACATCCTATTGACTGACACCATTGTCTGTTGGCATTATCTCTTAAAATACTCTCAAATAATCTCTACTAAAGAATGACTAAATATGGTTACAAAATCGTAAAAATAATAGCGTAATAATAGAGCAAGCTAATGGCTACAGAGCTTTTTTTATATACAATTTTGAACAGTTCAACTGAAAGTTATTTACAGACGGTACGAACATGCAAGTAATTGCTTTAAAGGGCTTCGACAAGTTTATAGCCAATCTTAAAAACATTAGACAAAACTTGTCAAGTTATTTGTTGTTCGTGTCCCATCTCAATTTTTCTCTTAGGCCTAATCTATAAGTCACATTTTTTTTTCAGTGTAATAAACACGCTCTCTCCCTCGCGGAGGTTCTTTAGTACTCGCTAACAAGAGCGCTTTCGGGAAGTAGGAAGCTGTGTAGACGGATTTAAAACTGGCTACAGCACATTTCACCACATCTTCAGTCTGCGGAAAGAGCGCCATTTTAGGGAGAAATAAACTTTTCCGGAATACCCGATTGATATTATCGAATCAACGACTGAATAGTGCGAAACATCCCGAGAACATCGAGAATTGCGGCGTCACTTTTTGTTCCGACACACGCCACTTTGCATAGCAACTTCTCTACACAAAAAAACACCCAAGAACATTTCAATTCATATCAAGTTTGAAATAAACGAAAATAATTATTTTACCACAATTGCTACTAATCTCGCAATCTGATTGGCTAATTTGCCGCTGCCGATAAGAGTCCCGACAACGCTGGTCACGCTCGGAAAAAATATTTTCTTTGACGTTATATATTGTGGTAAAAAACAAATCAAATGTTGTTTAGCGTTGTCTGTACCCTTATCGACAACGATATGCGTGATCACTGTACATTTTGACCACTGTGATGACGCATATCGTTGTCGATAAGAGTACAGACAACACAAAACCACTTTCGACTTGTTAAATGGCACTTTCTCCACAGAATCTTTCAATAAGGGTCTGAAAACAATTGTCCCTGGTAGTAGGGTTACCCTCTCCCCGAGCTATCCTTTACAGAGCGTTTGTATGATAGAGGTCGTCCCCCGGACCTAGCGAAAAATTTGGCCTACCGGTTTCGCGCATGCTCTAGATGTCCCGACAATTCGCTTCTGTATACAAACAAATGTATATGAATAGTTTAAGCTCGCTCACAGTAGCTCAGTATTGGGGGTGACCCTGCGACAAGAGACAAATTTTCTCCATGTAAGCTGACCATAAGACTTTTCGCCCGAAAGAACCAACGCTTGATAGACGCATGGTTCTGCTCATTCAAATTTGGCGCCAAATAAGGCAGCACCTTGCGCTCGTTCATAACTGGACAAACCAGTTTACGTCGAACCTCTTTGTCAGCTTCAGCGAACACAAAAATACGGGCCGGGCCGTTTTATCATAAATTCTTTACATTAAAAAGAAACT